GAGCGCACCACAAAAAGTATATGAGAGTAGACTTGTGGTAAAAAATTGATTTCGCTCAACACTTCAACTCAAATCAAGATTATATATATAATTATCATAAATAAATTGTGTATCCAAAAAAATAATGTAATACCAACAAAATATCATTGACTTACTAGTTTTTTTTATTACTTAAAAACCAAGACACACTAAACATATAGATTAAACCCATTAAAACATGTCAAAAGTCATGTGTATGGATCAGTAGGATATCTTCAAACCAAATCCATATATATAATTATGATATATGCATATCAGTCTAGTTTAAATTACCAATCAAAGCTGAGAGCTCTCAGAAATAAAAATGCCTCTGATGCAGCCAGGGGGGTCTGGCGAAACCGGGTCAGGTGGATCATCAGCCATGTCAGGATCAATTTGGATTAAACAATGGACTGATAAGTATACCAATCTTTATTAAGAGAGGCAGCATTTAAACTATACCAATGTGTGGTTTTTAAGAAGGCTACCACTTTTTACACACTGCAACTTTACCCAGGACTTCCCTGCTGAAGCAAAATTGAATCATGCATTGCTAAGGTTTTTTTGTGCCTTCCCTCTGGATTAGCTGTGAGTATAGGATTGTATACATAGGGTTTATATATTTTTTTTCTTTTTTATTGGTTGAACTAGGTGGACTTGTGTCTTTTTTTCAACCAGACTAACTATATAACTATGTCACATGTAAGAAGCTGACAATCCGCTCATCCCTTGCCATGCATCCAATCCTTACCATACATTTGCAGGACAGTTTTCAAAACATTATCCTAATATGTGTGGATAGAATTTAGTCATAAAAACGTATTCATTAAGCTAAATGAGCATTCATTCTACTAGATGACCGGTTGCTCTATGTTCAAATTCAATGAAAAGATTTTGACATCTTCAGATGTGTTTACACATATCTCTTCTTTATTATTTTTTAACACAAAACTCAATAAACTAATTTTCCCAACAAGCCAGCCATAGGGTAATTTGTCCTGCTTCAAACTGCCTCAAAGAGATTTGCCTATGAAGGATATAAGCATCATGACATGACTTTTGGAAACTTGAATGCACAGTATTCTCCATCTGGCATTGAAGGCTATTGCTGCATTAAGGAATCAGTACTGCCTGTGGTTTTTGAAGCTGACCTTCTTGGCCTGGGTGCCCACAAAGCAATATGTGCAGTCTATAACACCCAGGACATTTGGTAAACCATCCCACTGGTAAAAAGTCATCTTGTTCTCCCATTCACAAATTAACCTTAGAAACAGTTAGTTGGGAGTCCACGTACTACTCCAGAGTTAGTTTTGGAAGGAGCTGCAACTCAAAATAAAAAAGTTTAATAGCAACCTCACTATACCAGAACTTCATGCTGAGGTCAGTGTGATTTTTGTTTTCTCTATGAGGTTGTAGATGTGCATAATAGAATTTCTGCTGAACACGAATCTGCACCAGCCATATCCCACATAGTATTCAAAAATTTTGTTAGGCAAAAAAAACATATGGTTCATGTACTCTCGAACGAAAAGCACTGGAATTGCTGTCCTATGCTGCAGCGATATCAGCATTAGCTGCTGTTAAAGCCATAAGCATAAAAAGCAGCAATTCATTAACCATTGAGCCATGCACATATCTATTCACAGTGTTCTTAATGCACCTGCCCTGCCTCAGTGGTGCAAAACATGCCCATTTTTTGAACTTAAAGTATAACTAAAAGGAAAACTTTTTTTTGTGCCTTTTATTTTGGATAGAGTCAAGAGTAGAGATGAGCGAATTATTCAAAAATTCGGTTCGGCTGATTCGCCGAATTCGCGGAAAAAAATTTGTTTCGAGCCGAATATATTCGCTGCGAATTTAACTTATAAAAAGGGTGTTTCTAGGCTTCAGAGAGCCTTTATATTAGTGCAGAACACTGTACCTTTAATTTAAATGCCCTTGGAGTGTGCTGGGGAAGAGAAATAATACTGTCAGTCAGTATGACATGCAGATGAGTGCCGTCGATCTTAGAATCACCGCACACTTCACTCATTTGGGCAGTCACGGGGCCCAAAACCAGAGTGTGGAGCCACAGTGTGCGGTGGAGGCAGCAGCAATGGGAGGCCATACAGCACCCTATGACAAAATGGAACCCACCAGCAGTGTGAGGAGACCTGAAAGTGGCACATGGCAGAGTGTGGCGATGAAGACAGCAGCAATGGAGCCGTACAGGGACCCATGACAGACTCTGGACCTGGCAGCAGCATGAGGAGGCGGTACAGGGGCCCATGACAGATTACGGGCCTGGCAGCAGCATGAGGAGTCGGTACGGGGCCCATGGCAGATTACGGGCCTTGGCAGCAGCATGAGGAGGCGGTACAGGGGCCCATGGCAGAGTGGCGGAGTCGTAAGCAGCTAAAATTGAAGGCCATACACAGGCCTAGGGTTTAAAAGTCCCTCACAGTTAATTCCAATAACGAACTCTACTCCTCCGTGCAATCTACTTACGAGACCCTGGGCAGGTCTGGGTCCAATTTGTGGTAGAGACTGGTTTTGTTCAGCCATGCTTGAGCGAGTAATAACAGGTCTGTGCTGCCCTTTGGTGTCTGGCTTAATGCGCACAACACTGAACGTCCCAGCGTTTGTCAACGATTTGCCGTTAAGTGATGCAAACCCGCTGAACCACGTTTGATGAGGAGCCGGTACAGGGGGCCATGAATCAGTATGGACCTGGCAGCAGCGTGAGCAGACGACAGAGGCACATGGCGCAGGGTGGCGGTGTAGGCAGCATTATTCTGAAGCCATACACAGGCCTAGGTTAAAAAGCGGAAGCCGTCAGCAGCGTGAGCAGACGACAGAGACACATGGCGCAGGGTGGCGGTGGATGCAGCAGTATTCGGAAGCCAAACACAGGCCTCGGTTAAAAAGCGGAAGCCGTCAGCAGCGTGAGCAGACGACAGAGGCACATGGCGCAGGGTGGCGGTGGAGGCAGCAGCAATGGAAGGCCATACAGCACCCTATCACAAAATGGAACCCACCAACAGTGTAAGGAGACCTGAAAGTGGCACATGGCAGAGTCTGGCGATGAAGTCAGCAGCAATGGGAGGCCGTACAGGGACCCATGACTACACTCTGGACCTGGACAGCAGCAAGAGAGGGCGGTTTGGTACAGGGGCCCATGGCAGAGTGGCGAAGCGTAAGCAGCTTAAAAATGGAAGGCCATACAGAGGCCTATGTTAAAAAGTCCCCCCAGCAGCAGTGTGGTAGGAGACGACTATCAAGAGTCCAATGGCAGAGTGGCGGGAGCAGAAGCAGCTTCAATTGAAGGCCATACACACGGCGGTAGGTTAAAATGTCCCCCCAGCAGCAGCGTGGGGGAGTATGACTATCAAGAGTCCAATGGCAGAGTGGCGGAGCGGAAGCAGCTTCAATTGAAGGCCATACACAGGCCTAGGTTAAAAAAGTCCCCCCCAGCAGCAGTGTGGGGAGACGACTATCAAGAGTCCAATGGCTGAGTGGCGCATCTGGGAAGTCAGCGTTGTGATTGCAGATGCAATGCAGAAAATTCTACGATAGTAATGCCGTGGGTGCGAAGAAGATCATTATACCGTCGTACTTCCATCCATAAGACGGAACAACCTGCGAACCGGGAGCTTTATTGCCCTGACCCCGCTGAGCAGCTTCTGGGATACCAAGAGGCCCATGGCAGAGTGGCGGAGCGTAGCAGCTTCAATTAAAGGCCATACAGAGGCTATGTTAAAAAGTCCCCCCAGCAGCAGCGTGGGGAGACGACTATCAAGAGTCCAATGGCCAGAGTGGCGGAGCGGAAGCAGCTTTCAATTGAAGGCCATACACAGGCCTAGGTTAAAAAAGTCCCCCAGCAGCAGTGTGGGGAGACGGACTATCAAAGAGTCCAATGGCTGAGTGGCGATCCGGGAATGTCAGCGTTGTGATTGCACATGCAATGCAGAAATTTTATGAGGGTAATGCCCATGGTGGGTGCGAAGAAGATCTATCTTATATACCGTCGTTACTTCCATCCATAAGACGGAACAACCTGCGAACCGGGAGCTTTATTGCCCTGACCCCGCTGAGCAGCTTCTGGGATACCCAAGAGTTTGGCTTCTGTGGGGAATATGGTTGAAAACTGAAACTTAAAGGCATGTTGACGGAAGGGCACCAGTGTCAGTGCTTCGGAGGGAATATAGCTTCAAAGCTGACACTTAAAGGTATATATCGACGGTCAGAGACCACAGGAAGTGGAGCTTGCGTCTTAAATCGACTGAATGTGGCAGATGTGAAACGTCTACGGGCTCGTATATGAAACGGGTTGTTCCTCTTTCTGGAATAAGTGTTGGAAATGGCGCACTCTTTTTGGTGTGGCGTTTTGTCTATTTAATTCCGATAACGGACTCTACTCCTCCGTGCAATCTAGTTACGAGACCCTGGGCAGGTCTGGGTCCAATTTGTGGTAGAGACTGGTTTTGTTCAGCCATGCTTGAGCGAGTAATAACAGGTCTGTGCTGCCCTTTGGTGTCTGGCTTAATGCGCACAACACTGAACGTCCCAGCATTTGTCAACGATTTGCCGTTAAGGGATGCTCAAACCCGCTGAACACGTTCAGGATGAGGAGCCGGTACAGGGGGCCATGAATCAGTTATGGACCTGGCAGCAGTGTGAGGAGACCCGACAAAGTGGCACATGGCGCAGGGTGGCGGTGGAGGCAGCAGTATTCGGAAGCCATACACAGGCCTAGGTTAAAAAGCGGAAGCCGTCAGCAGCGCGAGCAGACGACAGAGGCACATGGCGCAGGGTGGCGGTGGAGGCAGCAGTATTCGGAAGCCATACACAGGCCTAGGTTTAAAACTTGGAACCCAGCAGCAGCGTGAGCAGACGACAAAGACGCACATGGCAGAGGATGGATCTGGCAGCAGTATGAGAAGGCGGTACAGGGGCCCGTGGCACAGTGTGGTGATGGGGGCTACAGCAACTGGATGCCAGAAAGTGGCGATAGGGCTATATACTGCATGGAATTATAAAGTTGTAACAGACAGCGGCCTATAAGGCTATACACACTATAACAATCATGACTTGATTGACCATTGGCCTATTAAGGCTATACACAGCATGAATATCATGACTTATTCTGAGAGTGGTTTGGAAGGCTATATACAAAAAGTAATTCATGAGCTGTCCTCCGACAGGACAATAAGTACATATATACAAATCAATTATCAGTCTGTCCAGCCAGCGGCCTCAAAGGCGACACATATAGAAAGCAATTCATGAGCTGTTCTCAGACAGCGGCCTCTAAGGCGACAGATGGGAATACAAAGCAATTCCCGAGGTGTGTTCAGGGAGCGGCCCTGAACGGCTAGGTTATTACTAAATGCATTTTTGTGGCCAAACATCGGCCCTAATAAATGTCTACACAGTGACAAAAAATTATGTCGGTTACCAGACACATGCGGCCCCTAAGGCAGACAGATATACAAAGCAATTCCCGCAGGTGTTCAGGTGAGCGGCTTGAACGGCTAGGTTAATTACTAAATATATCTTTCTGGCCAAACATCGGCCTATAAATAGATGTCTACACAGTGACAAAAAAGTAGGTCGCCTTACAGCGGCGTTATCCCTACAAATTGACAATTATAAGAAATGGTTTAGACCAAAAAAAAAAAAAAAAAAAACTTTGATGCGATGCTATACCTTAGTAGATGTGTGGAAAGATCGACAAGTCAAGCGTAACTGTGTACATTACAGAAAATCTTAACAAGACAACCAAACATGTGTGGACCCAAACCGTGACCGAATTACAACAAGTTAACAATGTAAGAAAAAGGAGGGGGCCAAACCGTGGGCCAATAAATAAACAGTCCACCTCATTGATGAGATGGACAACACGTGTCAAATAAATATTTAAAAAAAAATTGCTATTCCATCGGTCTGGAAACTGGTCGACTATAAATAATTAAAAAGTTTAAATTCATGTGACAGTCGTCCAGCGACCGTATTATAAATAATTTAAAAACACTAATTCATGGGGCCCGACCAGCAGAGTATAAGTCATTAAAAAGGTTCAATTCATGTGACGGTCGTCCAGCGAAGTATATAAATAATTTAAAAACCCCAATTCATGAGGGGCCCGACCTGCAGAGTATAAGTCATAAAAATGTGCAAACATGAGAGTCGGGCCGACCGGTCGGCCAGCAGCCTCTCAATAAAATATATATACAAATGTACGGATCAGGTGGAGGTCTTCCATTTGTCCCTAATAACATGTTTGGGGCGCATGATTCATGGCGGATTTAGTCAGTTGTGTCTGGAACTGGTGGTTTGAAATCCAGACTAATCCACGCCTGATTCATTTTCACAAACGTGAGTCTCTCCACACTTTGGGGTGGACAGTCGTGTCCTCCGCGGAGTTACAATACCTCCTGCCGCACTAAACACGCGCTCCGATGCCACGCTACTGGCCGGGCATGACAGCCTTTTCAAGGGCAAATTCAGCTAGTTGGGGCAAAAGGTCAAGTTTCGTTGCCCAGTAGTCAAGGGGATTGTCTACCTCGGTTGGCAGGGTGCTGTCCAAGTAGGCCCAAGCCTGTTGTTTGAGGTCCTGCTCCAGGTCCACCTGATGCTGCTGCTGCTGCTGGGCTGCGGCTGGTTAGTAGTTTCCTCACTGCGCTGGTGAAGAAAGCTACTCATCATCGACTGCAGAGACTGAGGCAGCCGCTGCTGTGTGGAGCTGCCACTGCTCCTACCACCCCCCACCCTCCCCTGCTGCCATGGCAGCGGAACGCGAGAGCGCACAGGGCCCCACAGTGTGTCTGAGGATGGACGTTGGCGCAGAAAGGCAGCAGAGACCAACTGACTACATAGGTGGTTTTTTATAGTACTTTATTTTGGCCTCCCTCTCAGCAGGTGTGAAAAAGGCCACCATTTTTGAACGGTAGCGAGGGTCCAACAAGGTGGACAGCCAAAAGTCATCCCTCTGTCTGATGGTTATTATTCGGCTGTCGCTACGCAAGCAAGAACGAGCATGCTATGGGCCATTTGTGCCAAGGAATGCGAGGGACTCCCTGCCTCCATCTCCACAGCATACTGCCACGGTGCGTCTGGGTCCTCTGTTCTCCTCCTCCTCCTCCTCTACCAGATGCTCCTGCTCCTCCACTCCTGTCCCGCTGAGTGGAAAAACCACCCATTTCACTCAATAATTCCTGAGCACCAATGTCCTCCTCTACCTCCTCCTCTTCTTCCTGTCCTGCCCCCACAGGGGTCATGTGGCGTTGAGATCTGTGCGCCACGTCTACCGCACCCTGACCAGCCATTGTTAACAGCATTTGTTCCAGGACGTGCAACAGAGGAATGACGTCGTTCATCCCATAGTCCTGCCGACTCACGAATAGCGTGGCCTCCTCAAAGGGCCTGAGCAAGCGGCAGGTGTCACGCATGAGCTGCCAATGGCTGACATCTAAGTTACACAGGGGGGAGTACCTTTATCCGCTTGTAAACATCAGGAAATCGGTTGGTGATGGCCTTTCGCTGTTCGTAAGGCGGTCTAACATATGTAGGGTTGAATTCCACCTTGTTGCAACGTCGCAGATCAGGCGATGCTGTGGAATTCCGTTCTGCCGCTGCAGCTCAAGGAGGGTGTGCTTTGCGGTTTGTAGGAATGGCTGAAATGCATGCAAAGTTTACGTGACATTTTAAGGATGTCTTGCAGTGGGATGGTGGATTTTAGGAACCGCTTGACTTGAAACCAGATTGAACACACAGTGAGCCATGCATGGCGCATGGCACAACCTTCCTTGACGCAGAGCAGACACCATGTTCTTTCCGTTGTCGGTCAACATGGTTCCGATTTTCAGTTTGCGCGGAGACAGCCATCTGTCGATTTCTCTGTTCATTACACTCAGAAGTTCTCCCCTGTGTGACTACGTTCGCCAAGGCATACCAGGTGCAGCACAGCGTGACACCGTTGCGCCCTGGCACATGTGATATGCCGGTCGGGTAATGGGATAGGGACTTGGCACGGGGGGCGGGGTGGGTGGCTGGCTGAGGACACGGCGGAAGAAGAAGTGAGGTGGTAGAGGCGGACATCTTTGCTGGACCAAGGACGTGCAACGTGGAGGCAAAAGCGGCGCGTGACCTGTCCAAGTTGTGATGGTGCGGCTGTGCCGGCACCACGTTCACCCCAGTGGGCCGTAAATGACATGTACTGTCCCTGACCGTAGTTACAGCTCCACACGTCGGCGCTGCCGTGCACTTTGGCAGAGACCGACATGCTCAAAGACTGGCCCACCATCTCTTCTACATGTGAATGCAGGGCTGGCACTGCCTTTTTGGCGAAGAAATGCCGGCTTGGCATCTCTCCACCGCGGCTCGGCACAAGCCATCATTTCTCGGAAAGGTGCTGAGTCCACCACTTGGAAAGGGAGGGGACATGCAGCACCAGCAACTTGGACAGGAGGACGTTCAGCTTCTGCACCGTCGGGTGCGTGCTCGCAAAACTGTTGTCTCTTGGAAACGGATTCCAAGAAAGACTGCTGACGGAATCCGTGTGAAGAGGAGTAGCAGGAGAGGAGCATCTGAACGAGCGGAAGATGCCAACGAGCCGACAACTCCCTCAGCAGAGGTGTTGGAGCCTTGACTGGCTGATAGAGGGCGCGATTGACTCGTCGGGTGTCTGTGACGGAGCAAGTAACGGAGCGGGTGATGCATGGCGGATGGAGCGGGGGCTGGGGCGAGGCAGAACCGCCGTATCTTTATCACGGTTTTCCCCAGGCCACCGAATGGCGACGCTGCATATGCTGACGCAACGCTACGCTGTAGTCCCAACATTGGCCCCCTGGCCACGCTTGACTTTCTGGCCACATAGTCGACATACGGCTACGTTTACTTCCTCGGGCGGGGCGTTTGACGAAAAAATTGCCACACCACCGACGTAGGAAACTTTGCCCCGCTACTCCTCACTGGCTGACTGCTACTTCCTCCGTGCACAACCGGCACCACTACTGGCCGTGAGGTGGTAGGCTGCAGTGGAGCTGGTGCTCTACTCCGTGGCCGTTTGCCTCCACTGACACTGCTGCGACCCTGCTGCCTCCTGGGGCAACCCACCGACTGTTTTGCTCGCTTGCAAGCTGGCACCCTCTTCTCCTGATGATGCGGAAGCAAGAGCCTGATGACGACGAGGCTGCCAAAGTGCGATCAGCCTCATCATCATCAATTAGGGTCTCCGCGTCATACTAGCCCCCTCGGCTGCGTGTGGGTCAGGAGGACAGACCTGTCTCTTAGACCGGCTACTCGAGCCACTCTCCTCGCCAAGTACTTCTTGCCTGGCTGCTTTGGCGTAGGTGTAAAGGGTGGACCTGGGGAAAGGAAGACGAAACCGATTCAACCCAAAACGATGACGGCGGGTTTGTCGGGGGGGGTGGAGACCGGGACGCTGGATGACACGGGAGCATGGCCTCTGGCTGCAAATATTTCGCCTCGACCCTTCCTCTGCGCCACTTGCTCCTCCGAAACATTGCCTTTCCCCTGCCCTCCCCTGGTGTTGTTGACATTTTTTTCTTTTTAATTTAATAAGCCCCCCAAAAATAAAACCCGGATTTAATCTTTAAGTACAATAGTGGTTGTGAAGCAAAAAATCAGTTTATTTTGACAACGGTCAATTGCAGTTGCCGTTGGCTGTAACTGTCGTTTAGTCATGGAATGCACTAATCACCCAAAAAATATTACCCCCACCCGGCGGTATATGGATTTTAAATCTTTGAACTAAAATAGTGG